GACCACTCCCTGAGCTGCTTCTCTGTTTTATCAGTAGTTTTTCGTACTTCTGTTTACCATGCTATTGTTTTAAGTTTCTAGTATTGATAAATAGGCTTTGGCAAATGGCAAGTGACAGAGTAAATTACCAGAACTTGACACAGAGCCCTGTTACCTGGGCGTTAACATTTCACATAATGTCCTTGGTCATCTAGTTCTGATTCTGAAGCTTGGCTGTGAGTGGAATTCTGCCCATCACCCCTCCTCTTCCCCTCTGTCCTGCTGTCGTCTCTGTGACTGACTGACTGGCCATAGCCCATGTAGTGGTGCAGAGGGGGCAGCCCTGACCATTCTGCAGGAGCCTGGGCCCCAGCCCCAGCTCTGCCCTATGGGGACCAGACTGTCCCTTAGCAAGCCTTTCTGGTGCTCAGCTTCCTTTATCCTCTGTGTCCCTCCTCCCAGCCCTGGGGGTCTGTGACCCCCCCCCCTTTATTCTTCCCTAGCTCTCCACCTGCTTTTAGGTCAGAAAGCGCTGTGTGAGCACTCTGTGGACTTCAGCGTGTCACTTCTGGAAATGTTATCTGCCTGCCCTCTTCCCTCACTCTTGACCTTGTTTATAGTGGGCACACAGTGCAACGGCACTGTGCCTGTAGTGCTTAATGACAGTAACCTGCTGAGAAATTCAATTACAACCATCTGTACTAGACAGAGAGCCCTCTCCCACCCACCCCCAGGACAGCAGGGGGCCTATTAGGTCCTGGAGCCCAGCCAGAGGACAGAGGCCACATCACAGCCCACTTCTGCACCATGGATTTGTGTCAGATTCCTTAATGAGGCAAAGGACTTCATTTTCCCACTTATGTTTGCTTATTTTCCTGTATAAGAGACTGCCAACCTGTGGAGCTGTATGAAGTGTTCACTAATAGCCTGTGATTCACAAGGTTGGCATTTCTCAGTCAGAGCTTAGAGGCAGTTTTCCTCCGCTGCTCTCAAAATAGCTGGGTTTCATTGGAGCTTCTGAGAACCTTCTACCAATTTCTTAAAGTTGTAGCAGTCTGCTCCTGATGTTCCTGAAGAATGTCCCTTTAAGAGCTTTTGAAGAAATCATACAAGTCTAACAACTTCTCCTCAGAGGTTTTGTTTAAACCTTTGACATGCCAGTTTTTTTGTGCATGGTGATAGGAGGTGGGATAATTTATCTGTGGGTATGATGTGTATGTGAATGCATGAATTAAGTCACCAGGGTGCTGCTATATCTATAAGGTGACATGTGCTCCCGCCTTCCAGGAGCTATCTGCAGGGAGTGGTGTTTCCCCAGTGCAAGTGTCACATTATTATGGGAGAGCCTTGTAGGGGCATTTTGAGTAAAATCACCAGAGGCCATTGAATTTACTTTGAGGAGACATTAGGAGTTCTGGTGGCACTGTGGGTAAGGCATTTGGCTGCTAACCAGGTCAGTGGTTCAAACTCACCAGCTGCTCTGCAGGAAGAAGATGAGGCAATCTACTTCTATAAAGATTGGAAACCCTATGAGGGTCGCTATGAGGTCAGAACTGACTTGATGTTAGTGGGTTTGATTTTTTGGTTTGAGGAGACATTGGTAGCTTAGTGGTAGAATTCTCACCTTCTGTGTGGGAGACTTGGGTTCAACTCCAGGCCAGTGTACCTCATGCATAGCCACTGTCCATCATCAGTAGAGGCTTATGTGTTGCTATGATGCTGAACAAATTTTAGTGGAGCTTCCAAGCTAAGATGGACTTAGGAAGAAAGGCCTGGTGATTTACTTCTGAAAACCAGCCAAAGAAAACCGTAAGGGTACAGTGGTTTATCTTCAGCTGACCATGGCGATGGTGCAGGACTGGGCAGTGTTCTGTTTCACTGTGCATGGAGTCTCCATGAGTCAGGACCAACTCACCAGCAGTTAACAACAAGGTAGCACGGTGGGTCTGTCTGGAGGATTTGTACTTTCTAAAATGTGTGTGCAGTGTCAGCATCTCAGATCTGGTTGCAGGGAGGTTAGCTCAGTATAGAGTAGTGGTTGAGAGTACAGGTGTGAAAGCCAGGCTGCCTGCATTCACGACATGACCTCCACTAATGAGCTGTGTGACTTTAGCCAAGATACTTGCTCTGTGCTTCAGTTTTCTCACCTGTAAAGTGAGGAGGATTATCATAGCCCTGTGCTGTGGGTTTGTGAAGAGAACAGCATGAATTAATAGACATGGGAAGTATAGCTATGGTTGGTGCTTGGTGAAGCTCAGGCTACTGAAGGCCCTTGGTATGAGGACATTTGTGTTGTATCTTGTCCCCCCAGACCATAAGCCTCCTGGGGGACTGGGACCCTATCTATGTACCCTAGTGCCCTACTTAAGCTTCTGAACCCAGGAATTATTTGGATTTCTCTCAAAAGAGGAACAAAGGCACTCTCCTTGGTGGGGTGAGGGAGGACATACTTTTCCCCCAAAAGTGATCTGCCATTAATGCATTCTGTTGACCTGAGCCTCCCATACTGGCTCTGGTTCAGGTCAGAGCTGACAAGTAATGAGCACTTTGTGTCCTGATGTCCCAGCTGCAAGAGTGAGAACCCATGGTACCTGAGGCTTCCTGCTTAGCTGGCAGAGAGAGGATCTGAAATAGAACTTGACTGGATCACCACTCCCTGCCCTGGCCCCTTCGATACTTAGGGCTGGGCTCTTCTGTGGCTGTAATACTGGGACATGGGCACTGGGAGTCGGACTTTTACTCCGAATATTCCTCGTATAGTACAGGCCTTGGAATTTTCTCAGCGCCGAGAGCTATTTGTGTTTCTGGAACCGAAACTGCTTGGTCACAGGGGTGTGGGAGGAGAGGGGTTGGTGTCCTGTTTCCTGGCTTTCCCCTAGTAAAACCTTGCAGGACCATGCCAAGCTGGGCAGTGTGGCTGTGGACCAGCCATCTTCCTGGCTCTGTATATAGCCAGATAGTCAAGATGTATACTTCAGTTATTGTTCCCACGACAAACCTACATAGTGTCCACCTTGAGTACAATTCTTCTTGCTGTTTTCTTTGCCTCTTTCTTCGGATTCTTCACACTACCTGGGGGGTTCTGCCCTTCTGGGAATCAGCACTTTTAAACCAGTGGAAACAAACTCAGTGCCAGTTTGCCCGAGCCACAAGTTCCTGCTCTGATCCGGGTGTCCTCCCTCTGCTTCCCTGCCCAGCTCCCAGCAGTGACGTCAGCATTACCACATGGGCTCTGGCTCTGGTTGCCCTTTGTCATAGACAGTGTATTTCTTGGACTTAGAGCTTAGTGACTTCATCCATCACTCTAGCAACCAAACAACTGTTGTGCTCCAGCAGCCAGCCTCATGGTTAGCTGCTGTGATAGTCAGTTTACCCCTTACTGAGCCCACCACCATCGTTTCAGGTTTGTGGGACCCGAGAGCCTGCCATGCCCACCACCTGTCATCAAAGCTGTGGTCTAAGTCATAGAGATGGATAACAACTTAATGAAGACTCCAGCATGTTAGACATCTAGAGCTAGAAGTCTTGGGGAGGCAGTGGTGGTTCAGTGGTACGATTCTCTCCTTCCATGTGGGAGGCGTAAGGAGCTCTGGTGGCATAGTGCTAATGGCATTTGACTGCTAACTAGAAGGTTGGCAGTTCAAATTCACCAGTTGTTGCCCAGAAGGAAGATGAGGCAATTTACTTCCATAAAGATTTACTGCCTTGGAAACCCAGTGGGGGTCACTATGAGGTAGGAATCAACTTGATGGCAGTGAGTTTGGGGTTTTTTTTAGTTATGCCAGAGGCTTGGGTTTCTGGCCAGTGTACCTCATGCACAGCCATGACCTATCTATCCATCACTGAAGGCTTGCTATGATGTTGAACAGGCTTCAGTGATGCTTTTAGCCTAAGATGGACTAGGAAGAAAGGTCTAATGATCTCCTACTGAAAATCAGTCAGGGAAAACCCTACGGACCACAATTGTTTGATCTGCAGTCAGTCATGGGGATGGAGCAGGACTGAACAGTGTTTTGTTCCAATGTGCATGAGTCAGGGGCCAAATCGATAGCAGCTAACAACAGCAAAGCCAGAAGTAGTCAAATCATTTTCATCCATTATATTAAAGGAGATAATAGGAAGCTACTCTGGGTGGAATGAGGTCCTTGTGGTGGTGTGATGGTGGAGGGGATGGTCTTCAGGTCCTACTTTTCTTCTTCTACCTTACCTACTTTCCATCTCTCCTCTTCCTTTCCAAAATGCTCCATGGAACCATTTGAAAAACACAGATGCAAGCCAGCTTGTTATTCACAAACTAGTTCTTATTCTGGTCCTCATCCATCTGGTTATTACTCTGGGCACTCAGTACCCTGCAGGCAGCCCTCATCCTGTAACTTCAGAAAGACCCCTGTGGGAGTTGGAGCCCTTTAGCCCAGGATGGGGTGTCGTGCATACCCCACCTTCCCTGGAGAAGCTAGGCCCCTGCTTGCCCCACCCCCAGGTCTATATCTCTCCAGCATGATGTTGTTCATGCTCCCCTTGCTCTGGATTTGGAAGGGCTTTCTAGATGACTTGGCTCTCCAGTACTCTGAAGCCATAGCCTATTCATTTTATTCCCTGGATTGGTATTACGTGAACACATACCAGGTGGCAGATGCTGTGCTGGGTTCTGGGACATTGCAGTGAGCAGAAAAGTACAGCCTGGCCCAGGGTTTGCTGAGGCTGACAGATAGTTAGACCCTATAGTGCAGACCCCACCCGTGAGTCCTAAAAAACATGGCACTGTGACAAGGTGGTCAGTGACGAACTATGACATGATACATTGTACTAGAAACACTTCCTGTTCTTTCATTTCCTAATGATTTTTTTTTTTTTTTTACTTTTATAGTGGTGAAAACATATGCAAGACATTAGCCAATGTAACAACTTTCCCACTCACAATTCAGGGACATTGATGACATTTTTCATGTGCCGCCATTATTGCTATCCTTTCCCAAAATATTCCACCACTAATGAATTATTTTTAAAAATTATTTTTACAGAGCCTTACTGGAAGGAGAAAGCAATCCAGAAATACTGATCTGGACTGAACATGTTGAAAGTGTGCCACAAGGTAAATGCTTTAAAAGCGATTCTTTAACTTTAAACTGCTTTCTATTTGAACTCTTCATTCTCTCTATAAATAGTAAGGCCTCATTTATTGGGAAGACTAGGGCTAAATATGGGTTTTTAGATAACTATAGTTCAGTCCTCTTTCAAGTACCAAATTTCAGTTTAATGGGACTGGTGGTATAATGCACTTGGCTGCTAACCAAAAGGTTGGAGATGTGAGTCCACCTAGAGCCATATCACAAGAAAGACCTGGTGATCTGCTTCTGAAAAATCAGCTCTTAAAAACCCTGTGGAGCACAGTTCTACTCTGACACACATGGGATCACCGTGAGTCAGCATCACCTTTATAGCAACTGGTAATAAAGGACCTGTGGATAACTTTTTTTTCTTCTCTACCTTTTAAAACTTTATAGAATCTTAAAAAACTTCCTGCCTGAGTAAGAACAGATTAAATTACCTACAGTACGTTCAATATTTGTCTTACTCAGCATGATTTTAGTGTTCATAAGTGTTTTATCATATTCAAAATCATGACTAATTGGGAATATATATATATGGTACCTCTATCAAGACCACATTTGATTAACAACCAATCTGGATAGATGGTAGATTGTTTAAAAATTTAATTTATTTTTGGTGAAAATAGATACAGCAAAAAATACACCATTTTGACAATTTCCACATGTACAATTCAGTGACATTTATTATATTCTTTAAGTTGTACAGCCATTCTTGCTGTCCTTTTCCAAATTATTCCAACATGATTAACATAAACTCACTGCCCTGAGCTTCTCAATAACCTTTCGAGTTGCTCTTGTCATTTTGATCCCATATAGATTGTTCTTTTAAAAAGTACAGTGCTCAAGGCTCTCTTACTAATTGAGCTAAACTATGGTTTTCTTCAAAGAAGAATATAGTTTTGGGGTAAGGATATAGTTTTGAGTTAAGGTTTTAATACTACTTCAGGGCAATAGTTTTAGAGCTGATCCAGCCTTAATGGCTCCAGAAAGTCTGGATGCTATTGATAACTGGAAATTCTGTTCTACATGCCTCCCCCTCCCCAGCTTTTGATCAGGATTCTTCTATAGAATCTTTGGTCAAAACTTTCAGTAATGGTAGCCAGGTACCATCCGGTTCTTCTGGTCCCGTGGCATAGAAGGCAGTTATTTATGGAGGGATAATTAAAGACTTAAAAAAACTAAACAACTTTCTATTTTTACTTTTCAAAAGGAACATTGTCCCTTTTAGGTATTTCAAGGATTTGACAGGTCACTGAGTTCTAATCATCTGTGACTACAAGCAGTTTGATCTCAGACGATATCCAGGAAATCTTTCTGGTACTGAGAGTAGCTTTGAAAAAAGCAAAGATGTCTGTATTAAGTGGCCACTCATCAGTCTGCCTGGCATCTGTTAGCATATGACATTGATAAAATAGGAGTTATTCACTCACTCAGTTTTAAGGTTTACTCAGTCATCTAATGGACTTGAACATACCAGTGATCAGGAAGATGTCACAGGACTAGGCAACATTTCGATCTCTGTAAGTTTTCCCTGAGTCATGAGTCATGAGTCAAAGCTTGACAGAAAATCAAAGTCAACATTTTTTTGTTTGTTTGTTTTTAATGTGTGGATATATAAGTGTGAAAATCCATCACACAACCTACAGAGAGCATGTGGAGAGAAAAAGAAAGGGTTCTGAACCAAAGTCTGATGACTGACATTTTTAAGTCAACCAACCAACCAACCAGTTGCTGTTGAGTCCGTTCCAACTCATGATGACCCCATGTGTGTCAGAGTAGAACTGTGTGCCATAGAGTTTTCAGTGGCTGACTTTTTGGAAGTAGACCACCAGGCCTATCTTCTGAAGCACCTGTGGATGGAGTTGAACCTCCAGCCATTCAGTTGGCAGCCAAGCGCATTAACCATTTACACTATCCAGGGATTCCATGAAGGGAAAAAATTTAATATTCTTAAAATAAACGTCATTTTAGCAATTCTGTATTATGCCAAAAGAACTTAAACTTTAGATTAAAGATTATTGATTATGAACTATTTTATTAGATTTTGAGCTTCCGCATATTTGGTGTAGTGCCTAAGGCATTTGACTACTAACCAGAAGGCTGGTGGTTCAAACCTACCAGCCACTCTTCAGAAGGAAGATGGGGCAATCTACTTCCGTGGTGATACTGCGTCAGAAACCCAAGGGAGGGGTAACTATGAGTCAGATCCAACTCGACGGCAATGAGTTTTTACTATACAGTATAGGTGCCTCATTAACTGTGTTGCATAAATGAACATAGGAGTTTCTAGATAGTATATTTATAAGTACTTATTAATACATGTAGGTTTATTTTGTAATATCACATAAAATAATGCTGGATGAGTGCTCACCAGATGACAGGGCTAAAACCAGTCTGTGATCTTCTCTTGTTGAATATTTATTAAAAACCATTTGATTCCTGCACTGTTCCCTGGGTATTCATCTTCTGAGACATCTTGCTTTAGTATATGTTGAATTGAAAGGAGGAATCTATGGAAAATGTCTTCTCCTGATTTCACTCCTGTATTCTGGGATCTTTCCCAAAGAGGCCTTGGCCTTGGCCTTGGCTGCCATAGTGGAGATCAAAGGAAAGAGGATCCATCCAGCTCAGCAGGATGGAGTGTGGTAGGCCAGGGGCACTGCTTCAGGCTATGTTCTAACTACAGGCTGCCATTCCTAAGGCAGGTTATCCTGAAGGAGTTTGGACTCTCTTCACATGGTCTTGAACAGAGCAGGAAGCCCTGTAGATTGTCTTCCAACTCTCAAACTGTGAAATTAAAGCAGACTGTAGTGTTGGTGACTAGTCTGCTTCCTGCATTGGTGCCTTTTCAAATGAGAAGGCTGTCAAGTATAAAAATGGAAGAAACCGGGAAGCTTGAAAAAAAGCTTAGTTCCTCAAGATTGTTGGCCCAGCAGAAATCAGTGAAAAAAAAAAAAAATCATATCAAAGTGGGGAGGAGAAAATATGATTTGATGTTAATAATTCATTTATATACTTTGTAATTATAAAGTGCTTCTCTACTAAAATAAAATAAATTCATCTAAGCAAAGCAGAAATTAATGATTCTAAAATATCATAAGATTGTGAAATTTCAACCACAAAACTAGTATCTCTGGCCTCTCTGGCCTATGTACTATGCTCTACAATCAGATGTTTGATATTTTTGTTAAGACAGATGAGTGTTTTAAGATCAGTCACTAGAGAAAAGTGTTAGGTTGAAGAATTTGTGGTACAATATTTCCTTGTACCAGGGCTTTAAGATCTACCAAATGATAATTTGGGGATTGAAAATAATTTTATTTGTAATGACTTTTCTGTAGTAATACTATGTATTTATTATGATGGGTTGGGATTTAACCTGTAGTGATACTTTTAAGCTAAAAAAACGTAATGATGACTTTCATTTTAACAAATGGTTTGTTCAATTCCTACAGAATTCAGAAACACATCCTATCAGTACACCAACTCAGTATTACAGAGGGAAAATGAAAGATATCTATTTCCAAGGCAGAAACCACCCGCAGTGAGTTTAAATCACCGCTCAGGGCTGTATTCTAACCAGTTGGTGCACCTTGGATCTCAGACAAGTGCAAGTATTGGAAATGCTGCCCGAGTTGGCTTCCTAGGCTCAAGATATTCATCCTTGGCCACCACCCAGCAGGAAAATGCTTATGAAAAAACTACCAACAATCAAACCAGTTTCAGAACTTTTTCTCCAACCTATGGTCTTTCAAGAAAAACTGAGGCGCAAATGAAAACACTTCCTGAAAGATCGAAAACTGAAGGTGCAAGTGATGCCACCAGTTATATAGCCAGAGGTTCCACCGTTGCCCATGAGTCATACCGAGAACGCCGAGACAACATGGCGGTGGGTGCTTCTGACAGCACTTGGTCAAATGAGAGGACTGTCACTTTGGGAAAGAAAACAGAAACGAAAGCCCCAAGGGAACAAGATAAAAACATACCAGAAACTGTTAGAACAAAGCAAGAAGAGAAACTGTTTGATTCTAAAGAGAAGGCTTCTGAGGAAAGAAACTTAAGGTGGGAAGAACTGACAAAGTTAGATAAAGAAGCAAGACAGAGGGAAAGTCAGCAGATGTGGGAAAAGTCTAAAGGGAAGGAGTCACTGAAGGAGAAAAATGTGCAAGCAAGAGAGATACCAATTAGTCTAGAAGCATCCAAGGTTAGTACCCCAGAGGTGTCCCCAGAAGGCTTCCAGACATTTGTCAAGAAAGATGGTGTTGGTGGGACAGGTAGGGAGACAGAAACAAGAGAGATGAAGTTTCAGTTGGACACTGGTGACACCCCCAGCTCTCTGAAAGGTGACTCCATGACCAAGACCATTGCAGAAAACATTGTCTCCAGTATCCTTAAGCAGTTTACACAGACTCCAGATACCGAAGCATCTACCAATTCTTTTCCAGACACAAAAGTCACTTACATGGAAAGGAAAGAGCTTCCTGGTGACAGGAAAACAAAGACTGAAATCATTGTGGAGTCTAAACTGACTGAGGATATTGATGTTTCTGACGAAGCTGGCCTGGACTACCTTTTAAGCAAGGATGTGAAGGAAGTGGAGCTGAAAGGAAAATCTACTGAGCAGATGATAGGAGATATAATCAATCTTGGTCTGAAAGGAAAAGAGGGGAGAGCAAAGGTCGTCAATGTGGAGATAATTGAAGAACCCGTGAGTTACATAGGAGCAGAGAAGGCAGAGGAGTTCTCTACCCCATTTGAAGTGGAAGAGGTTGACGATGTGTCTCCAGGCTCCAAGGGGCTTGTTGAAGAAAAGGAAGGTTATGGAGAAACGGATATCACCTTCTCAATTAATCAACCTAAGGGGACCAAGCAGCCCCCTCAGAACATAACTCATGTTGAAGAAGTGACAGAGGCAGGTGACTGGGAGAGAGAGCAGAGTTACTTTGTGTCAACTCCAGATGAACACCTAGGGGGCCATGACAGAGATGAAGGCTCAGTATATGGGCAGATCCACATTGAAGAAGAATCCACCATCAAGTACTCATGGCAAGATGAAATTGTACAGGGAACTCGAAGGAGAAGGAAAACAGACGATGCCTTGGGAGAGAAGGTTGTGAAGCCATTGGATGTTCCAGCTTCCTCTCTGGAGGACAGCCTAGATTATTCTCACTGGAGAGAACAAGCTAAAAGTGGTGAGATTCATGCTGAGCCCACAGTCATTGAGAAGGAAATTAAAATACCACATGAATTTCACACATCCATTAAGGGAGTCTTTTCCAAGGAGCCCAAACACCAGCTGGGGGAGGTTATCGGGCAGCTGGAGGAAAGCCTTCCAGAGCGAGTGAGGGAAGAACTGTCTGCCTTTACCCGAGAGGGTACTGGCGAGCCTGGGAGTGTTTCAGTGGATGTAAAGAAAGTCCAGACCTCTGATGGTGGTTCCATGACCTTAGTTGCTGAAGTCAACCTCTCACAGACTATAGATGCTGATCAGTTAGACCTGGAAGAACTAAGCAGATGTGAAGCCAGTGAAATAGAGAAAGCTGTGGAGTCAGTGGTCCGAGAGAGTTTGACCAAGCAACATGGTCAGGTGCCTGGAAGCCCTGACAGGGAAGGTGGAGCAAAGGCCCAAACCACCAGCACTAGCTTCAAGCGTTGGGCCACCAGGGAACTGTACAGCCCCTCCGGTGAGGGGGATGATACTAGCCCGGCCTCTCCCAGCACAGAACAGGTCACCTTCCAGGGTCCTGTGTCAGCCACTGTGGAAGTCAGCAGCCCTAGGGGCCTTTCCCAGTCACAGGTGCTGGAGGACATAAGCCAGTCTGTAAGGCACATTCAAATAGGCCCCACTGAAATTTGGAGGACTGAGCAAGTCTCATCTGAAGGATCTACTTCAGAAGTGGTGGAGGTAAGTGGAGAAAGTGACCTTGATCAGGCAGAGAGCTCAGTGGGAGCCAACTGGTCTGTAAGGCATCTTAAGCTGGATCCTAGTCAGAATCAGATGTCCCAAGAAGTCGTCTTCCGAGGGCCTGTCCCTGCCCTTCAGGAAGAAGGGGGCACAGAAGAACCGGGCCAGGTTGAGTTTCTTACAGACATGGGCCAACTGGGGAGACACATCACGTTTGGTGCCAAACAGTTTCAAGCTAAAAAGGAAATTATTTTTCAGGGCTCCATTCCTGGGGCAGGGAAGGTTGGTGATTATTTTCAAACGGAAGAGTCCATAGGTACCCACACTTCTGTAAGGCACCTCAAGTTAGACCCTGAAGAAGGGTTCAGTGAACAAATCCAGTTCAAAGCTCCCCTATTAGAGGAAATGGAGTCAAGTGTCACAGGAGGTTCTGAACACACCGGCAAGCTGCCTGGTCACAGCACATACACCAGGCATGTCCGAATTGGTCCTCAGAAGCACCAGACCTCTGAGCAGATAGTTTACCAAGGACCCATGCCCCAGCCAATGGGATTTAGTGACTCAGAAAGCATTGTCCACAGAGAGGGCTCAGCAGACATAACCCATGCCACTCACAGTTATACCTCAGGAAGAACAATTCTTATGACTGAAAAGGGCTTCCAGAGGGCCTCTCCTGAATCTTCTCTGGAGGATAGCGTAGGAAGTTTGTCTGGGGCAGAAGTGACATCAGACATTAGCAGGTCCGTTAGGCACATTAAACTAAGTCCTACAGAAGCCAAAACCTCTGAACACATTGTCTTCCACAGACCCATTTCCAAAACATTTGCACCTGCTGGTTCAGTGAGTTCCCCTGAGCTAGATGAGTTAACAGATAGCAGCAGGTCACTAAGGGACATTACACTGGGCCCCAAAGAAACTTCCTTTACCTTTCAGATGGATGTGAGTCACGTAGAGGCGATCCCCAGCTCCGACCGATGGACACAAGAGACCACGGTCTGCTTCCCTGCAGGGAAGGAAGAGGCAGCTCCCGGCATGTCTGATGGTGGTGCCTTGAGAGGTGTTGATAGTAGGAAGGACCAGGCAGAAGGCAGGAGCTTTCAGGCCTCTGTTGGTGATGGAAATCAGGCCCTTGGGCCAAAGGGCAAGGAGCAGGCTGCCTTTGATAAGACAGTGCAGCTACAAAGGATGGTTGACCAGAGGTCAGTGGTTTCTGATGAAAAAAAGGTTGCCCTGCTCTATCTAGACAATGAAGAAGAGGAGACTGATGGGCACTGGTTTTGAGAAACAGAAATGTGTTGCTTTAAATAGCATCTTATTTGATAACATACCAACATACAAGGCCTTTACTTATTTTAAGGAAGGGAGGCCCACTCTTTATGCAAGCTGCCTTTTTTTTTTTCACCTTCTTCAAGAGGCAATTGTCAATTTACTTTATAGTTACCGTGCAAAGATTTCAGATCAATTCAGGCCTTAAAAAGGCATTGGAGTTTTATTTTTAAGTTGAGACTTTTACAAAATACTTTTTATCTTTTTAATCTTAAAAGATTCCTTTTTCTGGAGTTTTCTCTCCACTTCTGGAGACGGTTTCTACCAGTTTTGTATGTGGCCACAGAAATGCCTCACATGTTTTTGAAACTATGATTAGCAGTAGGTGAGACATCTAAACAGTAATCGAACCAAACCCACTATGATCTGGTCGATTCTAACTCACAGTGACCCTATTTGACAGAATAGAAATCAGGTTTCCAAGGATGTAAATCTTTATGGAAGCAGACTGCCACATCTTTGTCCTGTGGAGTTGCTGGTGAGTTTGAATTGCTGACCTTTTTTGGTTAACAGCGGAGTGTTTTAACCACTGTGCCACTGGGGCTGCCTTAAACATTAACCAAACTAATACATTTAAGAATAAGTTTTATTTGCATGTGTTAATACAGGATAGTAAGCTAACAGTTTAAAGGATAAGCAAATGCAGTTTTCTTTTTACAGAGTCTTTTCAGATAGAAATACTAAGAAACAGACTGCTTATGTATAAAAAAAATCTAAGTGATTTTATCTTTAGGAAAAAATTCTTTGACATAAAATTAAATTAATTTTAAGTTTTGAATGGATTGCTTACCATGCACAGAACTTTAAAAATTTATTTGTGTAATCTTTTTAAAATCAGCATACTTGCTATGTGTGCACAGGTTCCTAGAATATGACACTAGATCCATGTGTAGGTAAAACAGTTATTGTGAATTGCTTACAGTAGCATTTCCTTTTTGCAGCACTAGGTAAAGTAGTACACAGTCTGAATAGCCTTTTTTTTTTTTTTTTTCCTATCATAACCTAAGCTCTGGAATGGCCAGCCTCTGTAAGACTGTACTTGAGCTTCTCTGACACCTTAACCCTTAGCACCTAAATATTTAATTTCACTGATGGGAGGTAGACCTGAAAAGAATTTGATGCTCTGACTGCAGCAGGACTTGCAAGATGGTGTGTGCAGTAAAATTGGAAACACAGGGTAGTTGGGTACCTCCCAAAAAAGCCATTTTCAATCCCTTTAACAGAGTGGTGTTCTCTCTTCAGTGCAGAGAATGAATGATTAAAAATCACAGCAACAAACAGACCTCATGGAATTTTTTGCACTTTCAACAGAAATAATTATAGTTGGGGTGTTTTGTCCAAGGAAAGGAAAATAAATAGAATAAAATGTCTTAGAGAAGGAACTGGGTGCACAGAAGCACCCAGGAGTGGCCCCAGAGGATGGCAGTGACCCCAGTCTCATGGCCATAGGGCCTGAACCTGCAGACAAACACCACAGAGTGCGAGATAGTGGAGTGCATTGTTTTAGATTAGTTTATCTCACACAAGCATGATTTTTAAAGCTTCCATCTTTAAAGGTATAGAGTCACATAAAAATTGCAGCTCTAGCAACATTATTTTAGTCCAAACTAGAGTTTCTTTCTTATAGTGCTGTCTGAACTGTACTTCCTAGTAACAGATTAGTACGCTAAAGAATGATGATCCACAGGTAATGCCATCCTCAGGTAGGTTATCATGAAGTGAGGGTGAGGTAATGACATCTGAACATCTTCCTCAGGCTTTGTAACTAAATCTAAGGGAGGCATCTAATTATACCATGGCTCTTGGACACATGATGAGGGGCAGGTGCCTGGGGTCGGGTAATGGTTACACCCATTAGTCTATGAAGAGTGTATTTTCTTAAGTGGAGGAGAAATGCAGCTATGATGATTTATTTTAAAAACACCTATGATGGTAGAATAATTTGGTAAAAGATAGTGGTGATCATTGTACAACATGATGAATGTAATCCATGTCACTGAACTGTACATTTAAAAATTGATATATATCTATCACAATTACAAAACAAAAACACCTATGAATCAAGTATAGAAAGAGAGAAAGTTGATTTGAATTACAAGTTTCAATTTTTTTAAAAAAGATATCTACCAAAATGAACTCATGATGAGCATAAACAGGTATAGAGGTTACCACTCCACAATCAAAGATTTCTTGTTTCTAATGTAGCCTAAGATGTGCTAATTTTATTTTAGTTGTAATTGGTAATGGTATTTGTATAAGTGATTTATTGGTAAGAATTTGATCAAGGTGGCAGCCTAGTGTTTTGATGGCAAAACAGACTGACAGTAAGGAGTGTTATTCCAAGTCTAAGTGGCTTAGTGTGATGTAACTATCCTAGCTCACAACTTTGCAAATGAACACTAACACGAGCAGGTTGTTAATGTCATACCCCACTTCTATGTTCTTTGGGAAATAAAGTTTGTATCTTAGACTGTAATTTTTCTCTCTAAGTTGGAATGCATATCTTGAAGAAGATCCTGCTACAAGTATTTACCATATGGAATCCAGAGTTGTTGTGAATTACTGCATCTTTGTTATTAAGTCCAAGAGCAGTGTGTCCCCTCGACATGATGACAGGCCACCTCACAGCTGTGTGGTTTTAAAACCAGTCACTGGAAACAACAGAAATTTTTGTGGTTGGAAGGGGTGGGGACACAACCAGTCTTCCTGTTTATTATTGTTTAGACAACATGGTATCAATTGAATGTTCTTCAACTTCCCACTGGTTATGGTATTGGTTTAAAATGTATATTCAGAATGGAATCATCTAAAAAGCTGATTTTGCTAGTCTCCTATTCCTTATGAAGGGAAATGTCACAAAAATGTATAAAAATAAAAATCTAAAGAAAAAATCCATTGTTTCTAAAGAGAATGAATGTTTTCTAGTAGATTTTGTTGTGGTCTCTAAGTTCTAAGTAAAGCACCTCTGGGTTCACAATGTTTTTATGGAAGCACAGAATCACTGGGGAGAATATCTATGAAGTCTCTTTGTTTTGAATCTCCCACCTGAATCAGAAATTGATAATAGCACAGAACTAGAAGGTGTGGCAAATAGCATAAAGCACCTGGCTTGTATTCAAACACAGCCTGAACAGTTTGTGGTAAGAACAGCCTGGAAGGCCAGTACAGATAAGGACAAGCTAGTCTGCTTTCCCAGGAGGAGTTTCCTGGGATGTGGGACTTCCAGTGCTAAATCCAGGAGACCCCTGGGCACATCGGGATGGTTTGCATACCTTTAAAGCAAATGGGAGGGTGATGATCAAGGTCATTCTGTAGTAGCTTGAAAAACTTAACGGTAATTTGAAACAAAGTAGTGCATACCCTTACCTGCTTGTAACTATTTAACATCTCCATAGCCTTTTGTTGTTGGGTGCCTGCCAGTGGATTTTCAACTCATAGTGACCCCATGTGACAGAGTAGACCTGCCCCATAGGGTTTGCTAGGCTGTAATCTTCAGGGAAGCTGATTGCTAGGTCTTTCTCCCACAGAGCTGCTGAGTGGGTTTGAACTCCCAGTGTTTCAGTTAGCAGCTGCGTGCAGCTGTTGCACCACCGGAACTCTTTTGATAGCCTTTTACAAATAATAGAAAAAACAAGTAGCTGTAATCTTCTCATGTTGAAGTTAACAAATTTAATAGATGGCAGACGTTTGGTGGAACATTGCTAAAGTCATTCTTTCCCTTGGGGGTGGAAGTGGGACCTAGATTTTAAAATTTAGTTTCTCTGATTTTAAGATTTTGGCCTCCAAAAAATAGGAAGAAGTAACATCACTTCCCCCCCAAAAAAAGCGAACATGTACTTTAATGTGGTGTATATTTAAATATTTACCCCACAGTCCACAGAGAAACCTGTCTTCAACTAGATGGAACACTTGTACACTTTTAGAGTAGTGACCACATCTCACATCTTTTTTTGCACATTGCTGTCATCATTTATATAAACATTCCCAAATAATAAAAGATTTACAAGTGTCTGATAATGCAGTGGTTAAAACATTCAGATGCTAGCCAAAAGTTGACAGTTAGAATCCTGCCAGCTGATCCATGGGAAAAAGATGTGGGACAGTTTGCTTCTGTAAAGATTACAGCCTTGGAAACCCTATGGGGCAGTGCTACTCTATCCTATAGGAAGATAGCCATGCATCAGGATCGACTCCCAGGCAATGAGGTTTTTTCCTAAGGCACTTGACTGCTAATCAGAAGGCTGGTGGTTCAAACCCACTAGCCACTCTTCGGAAGGAAGATGAGGCAATCTATTTCCGTAGTGATACTGCCTCAGCAATCCAAGGAGGGGTCACTATGAGTCGGGTCCGACTTGATGGCACATAACAACAACAACATACCAACAGATGGAATGTTGTAAATGTATAAAGTAAAAGAAAGGTTTATGTTAAAAATAATGAAACACTTTATAGTTGTTAGGTTTGCAAGATTGCTAAATCTTACCAGAGACACAAAAGACCTCCACAAAGAAAACTATAAAAAGCTACTTCAAGAAACCATAAAAGACCTAAATAAATGGAAAAACATCCCATGCTCATGGATAGGAAGACTGAACA